ATTTCTGTGCAGTTGATTTAGCTGTGCCTCCCGATGTGTTACTCTGGAAAGAGTATATTACCCTCAGTTTACATAAACCAGAGAATCCAGCATAGCCTCATTGTTGTTGTTGTTATGTGCTGAGTTGCTTGCAACTCATAGTGACCCTATGTACAACAGCCCTAAACTCTGCTCTGTCCTGTGCCAGTCGCACTGTCTCTGACACTCCCATCCCGATTATCCCAGTCACCGAATCAATCCACCTCATAGAGGGTCTTCCCCTCCTGCGCTGTCCCTCCACCCTCCCAAGCATGATGTCTTTCTCCAAGGACCGGTCTCTCCTCACAACATGTCCAAAGTATGTTAGACGGAGCCTCAGAATCCTTGCCTCCAAGGAGCCACCCGGTTTAACCCTTTTCCAGGATGAATCTGTTTATTTTCCTAGCATCCATGGTACTCTCAATACTCTTTTCCAGCACCACAGCTCAAAGGCATCAATTCTCCTTCTATCCTCCTTAGTCACTGTCCAACTCTCTGATGCATAACAAGCAATTGCGAAGACCATAGCCTGTATCAGACACACCTTAGTCTTCAGAGAGACACCATTGCTCTTCAGTACTTTGGAGAGGTCCCTAACAGCAGACTTAATGACATTTTACTCAGGCAGCCTTGAGACCTAAGCAGTTTCATGACAAATTGAGCCATGAAAGTATCTGCTTTTTCTTACCTGAGAAAGTGAATGTAGAAATATCTATCCAAAGATAACTGATGTGAGTTGTATTATGTTGAACTCTATGAAATTACTATATTTGTAAACTGTATAAAAGGCGATTTCTTAAGATTTTAGCCTAATAGATACCTGACCTGAACCCAGATTCTTACTCTTTTGAGCTCCTTCACTAGTTCATTCTTGATTAAGGAAGGACCTAATGGTCTTTAATGCCTGCTAACATCCAAGTGTAGGGAAAGGTATTAAGATGTGAGAATTTGGCTACAGCTAGGGAGGGGCAAGGGCAAAGGAGAGAAGGACTCAGAAAAGAATTCTGAAACTCAAGTAATCCTTAATGCATATTAATTTTGGCTTTACAGAGTAAAATACCACATAAAGGTCTTTTGTGTCCTAAGTGGGTTAATAGACAGTTGTATACTGTTTGAGAACTTCACTGTGTTGGAGACAATATACGTAGGTCTCTAGGAAAACCACAAACACTGGTTCTCTGGAGTTGATGCTGACGCATGGTGCCTCCAGATGTGCCACGTTAGGTGTGCTGTGCAGATTGTTCCGGGGCTCGTTCATCCAGTGTAATTTACTGGGCCTTTCTTCTCAGACACCTCAGAGCCAAGCTTTTTGTACCACCCACCCCCAGGACTCTTGGAAAATGATAGTCCTATTTAAATACTGAGAAGTAGTTAAAAATGAAAGCAGACCAAGGGCAACCTGAGCTTCTCAGCCTGATGTGATTGCAAACAGCATAACAGAACATCTCGCTCATCTCAAGTGTACATGGTGTTCAGTAAATGTTGCTGAAATATTGAAGGAAAGCATAAGAGGTCTTTTTGGTTAATACTATACTTGATGTTTACAATGGGACAAGGCCCCGAAACAGATGTAGATGTGACTGTGGCTCCTAGAGTAGAGAATTTGTAGCCTGCTATTCTTGTAAAATATTTTTATTCTAATCCCACTTAGTACTGCAATCAGGGTGACCCAAACCCCATTATTCTGTAAGCTGTAAAGGGTCTAAATTGTATAGAATGTCAAGTACAATAAATGTAAACAATATATTGCTACTGTACTATCACAGTGATCTGATGACATGTATAAAATTGCAGTGAATAGGCACATAAAAATAGACTGTGAAATAACCTTCACTTTCAGCCCCTAGAGAATGATTGTCATATAGGAATACAGACTACAAAATGAGATCTCCCAGCACACCTTACACAAAGCAGTCAAACACTTAGTTTCTTTCATAGATATAAATAACATTTTAGCAAAGGCTTAATAATTGACATCACCTTCTCCCAGGATTTCCATGTAACCATCAGCCTATATGGTAGGAGCCAAATAGGACTTACCTAGAGGGGCCATGGATGCCTCCTCGTGACCTATATGTGGTCTTTGACATGCATTTAAGTTAAAGTCATGTTCATTTTAATTCTACAGTTGACTGTAAGTAAACCTCCAGAATGTTTATTGAGATATTGTGGAATATATTTTCATTTATTAGAGATGTGAAGAATAAATTGAAAAGGAATAAATCACTTTATAAAGAAGGGAGGGGAAAAGCTAGACTTAATGTGTTGTTAATTCTTTTCTGCTAAGAATGACCTTCACTTGTTCTTGACTCCTGTCCTATGCACCTACTACCTTATGAGCATTTCTCTTTTTCAATTTTTTTTTAAATGCTTTCCTTTTCACTTTCCAACCTGGGATCTCCTCTCCTCATCTTCCCTACCTTACTAATCCATGCTCCCATCCCCCCGGCAGTCCCAGAGCAGAAAGGCAGTTCTTCATTCCTAGTGCCACGTTACATGTTGGCACCTTGCTGCTCTGGGCATCTCATTTCCTGCCTCGGACTGAATAAGGATTCTAGAAGAAGAATTGATGCCTTTGATTACTGGAGAAGAGCACTGAATATCTCATGGACTGCCAAAAGACCAAACAGATAAGATGGAAGAATTATAGCCTAAGTGCTCCTTGTAGGCAAAGATGGTAAAGCTTTGTCTCTCATACTTTGAACATGTAACTGTTGTTGGTTTGTGCTATCAAATTGCCAGTGACTCATAGTGACCCTTTGTACATTAGCTCTGAAAGCTGCCCTGTCCTGCACAAATCTCATTGTCTCCAACAGACCTAATCCCATTGCTCCAGTCATTGAATCAATCCATCTCATGCTGAGTCTTCCTTTCTGGTGCTCTCCCTCCACCCTTCCAAGCATGATAGCCCTCTCCAAGGACTGGTCCCTCCTGGTCATGTGCCCAAAGTATGTGAAATGAAGCATCAGAGTCCTTGCCTCCAGGGAGCATACTGATTTCACCCTCTCTAGGACAGAACTGTTTGTTCTCCTGGAATTTCACAGTGTGTTCAACACTCTTCTCCGCTACCACAGCTCAAAGGCATTGATCTTTCTTCTGTCATCCTTAGTTAGTGTCCAGCTTTTTGATGCATAGCAAATAAGTGCTAAGTCCATGGCCTGAATCAGGCCCACCTTAGTCTCCAGACTGAAATCATTGCTCTTCAGTACTCTAGTGAGGTCTCTGACAGCAGGACTTTCTCAATACAATTCACCTTTTGATTTCTTGACTTCTGGTGCCAAGAGTGTTGATTGTGGAACCAAGCAAGCTTAAGTTATCACCAATTTCCGTCTGTGCTCCATTCACCATGAAGCTGTTCCTAGGCCCAGTGGTGAGAACATGTATCTAGGAGAGGCTATTCCTTGGAAAGGGATGGAAGGTGGGGGGGTCAGTGAATTAGAGGAAGACCCCCAATGAGTTGGATAGACACAGAGACTGTAGCAAAGGGCTCAGGTGTGGCAGAGATAATGGTGGCACAGGATAGGACATGGTTCAGCTCTGTTGTTCACAAGGTTGTTATTAAGTCATACTTGATTCAGTGGTACCTAACAACAGCTGCCTTGAAAGGAAGCCTTGATGGTGTAATAATGACTTTCCTTCGAGACTGCTAGCTAAAAAGTGAGTGGTTTGATTTCCTCAACTGCCTCAGGGGAAGAACTGGATAGTCTCTCCCTATAAAGATTGCCAGCTTCGAAAACTCGGTGAGTGTTGCTGTGAATTGAAACTGCCTCCATGGCAGTAGCTTTGGTTTTGGTTTATTCTGCTGTAGAGATAGTAGTCATTCAGTGGTAAGATTCTTACCGTCCATACAGGAGATACAAATTCCGTTTCTGGCCTGTACTCCTCAACACAGAGTGTATCAGTAGAGCAGCCTGTTACCAATAGGTTTTGGCAGAGCTTCCAACCTGAGACAGGCTAGCAGGAAAGGACTAGCGAATTACTTCAGAAGAATCAGCTCAGAAAAGCCCCAAGCAGCCCACAGTTGGTCTTGTCATGCCTAGGATGATTCTTGCTGACTTAACTGGCCGTTTACAGTCACAGCAACATTTCATTGTGCCCCGTGTCATGGTTGACTGCATTTTTTTCACCTCCTATAATTGATTTTACTTGCCTTCATTTCTTATATCTCTCTGTTTAGGCAATTCTTATGTCAGAGTTGAACTTAAGGGTGAGAACCATCAGAACTGACTCATAGTTCATTGAATACCTCTCATTATTGTAGAGATAGATGCATGTGCAGGTAGATAGAGAGCTTGGATGTTCCACAACTCAAGTCTCCCAGCTTTCAAGAGAGATGTCACAAATCCATTTAGTGAAGCACATGCCCTCTGTTTATAAAGAGCTTCACAGTCTTTAAGAGTTTTTTTACATTATTCATAATGATCCCAAGACTATGGTTCCAGGGAATGATGCTACCAGGAACAGTCACACTGACTAAGCTTTCTGTGCAAAGCCAGTACCTTGAAAGAAGAATCAGAAAATCTCTGAAGAACATCTAAACATTAACAACAACAACAACAAAAGCAACATGAGGTCATTTAAGAATGTAGGAACAAACACTTTGTATTAGGCCATGCAGGCATCCCTGGTCTCCTGAATAATAAAACCATGTGTACGTGTAAAGATGACCTGGAGTCACCAAGAAAATGTTTATTTTTGGTTAAATAAAAGATGAAATACTGCATTTTAGAAATAACCTCTGTCAAATTGTTTAAAATAATAACAAAACTCTGAATATTTATTAAAGAGATACACCTTAAGGTATTTGGAAAAGCAAATCACGTTAGATCCCCTCACTCTTACAGTGATGCCAGATAAAGAAGACATTGTTATGTTTATAGGCCAGTGACCTGCCACAACCATTGCCACTTGATTTTGTGGTCTCCCGACGTCTGTGTTGTTGTTTATTCATGGGGTTTTCCTTCCTTTTTCTTTGGTTTCAGATGCGAGTGTCTCTCTGGCTTTTGTGGTGTCCCCGTGTGTGAGGTGGGATCCACTCCCCGCATAGTCTCTCGTGGAGATGGGACACCCGGAAAGTGCTGTGATGTCTTTGAATGTGTTAATGGTACGTGGGGTTTCTCTTGTTCTCAGAGAGTGCACGTTTGTACAGGAGGAGGAGGAGCGGGGAGGGTTCAACCTAGGTGCTTCTGCCTATTTAAGGCAGGAATACGCTCGGAGATTTGCAGAAACTCAGAAGATTTGCTTAAGATCCCACAGCACAGCACAGTACATTAGGATCATCCTGCTGTCCTTCAGAGAATTTTGAAATGTAACAGCATACTGCATATAGTCAGCATGCTCTGCTGTTTCACTGTTTTTCCAGCAGTGTTCAGGAATTCAGGAAAAGGTGCATGGAAGCTATAATCGTATTTCTCCTGCTGTCATTCAGCTTTCCCATCCTATTGCTGTCAGGTAATATATGTAACCAAACATACTGGTAGAGAGTACCAGAGTATAAAACAAAAAAGACATTATACATTGAGTTCAACACATTTGAACTTACAGAGTCTGTGGCCTTTGTTTGGTCATTGGGATTAGCCTGTTTTAAGCTTGACCCTTGTGCGCAGAAAAAGAATTCCTCAGTCACAAGATTTCTTTTCCCCTTTCACAGGAGAGCTTGGTAGCCGGGGGTTGAGGAAGTGATGGGATCTTTAGTGCCAGAAAAGAGGAGAACCCTTGGCATTTTTCGAGGAAAAAAAAAAAAGAATAAAACCTAAACAAGTGAGATATCTATAATTGGAAGTAGTATTTAAGTAGACAGTATTTGTATACACAAGGAAAAGAGAAATGGGTTTGGACAAATACACCAAAACGACAGAGACATATTCATGTTAACTGCTATTGTGTGTAAGAATTCAGATGGTTTCCTGCCCTTAATCCCAGAACCACCCCCTTCCCCACAGAAAGGGTTATGTTAAAGTCGAGTCCTGTTTGATTGTATCCTGTGATTTTAAGACCAGTGGCCACATGTTGTTTTCCTGTTTCATTTTGAAGAAACTCTTGCAGTAATGGCTTTATTGGTGAGAGACAGCAGGCAGTAGAGCTTCATGGTCACAGTGTGAAGGTTGATTTCCCTTCACTTTCTAGCTGTGAAACTTGGTCTTCCAGGCTCTCAGTGTCTGCGTCTGATAATGGAGTAAGTGTAGATTAACACGTTGCCACACACTTTTTAATTGACAACCATGCTTAGAAACACATTTTGCCATCATTTGCGGCAGCGTGTTGAAGGAGGCATCATATTTGAAGTGCTTGGAGTTGGACCTGATGTGCAGTCTTCACTGTTGCCTCTCCATCCTATCAGGACATTGAACTGGGCCTTCTAGGGTGATGGAGGAAGAAGTAAGGTGGGCATCTTACCTACATACAAAGTCTTTGGAAAAACCAGCACATGTGGATTGAATGCAGAACAAAGTTCTTTATGCATGAAACTTATCTCACTGTTGATCTGCATCCACATTATTACTATTATTAAGCCATTGGTAATGTCTGTTGAGTTGCAGGTGACTCGATGGCACATAGCAAGTGCTGTTAAACACCAGCACAGAGCCATGCAAACCTTTTTTTCCTTGCTGCAGTTTAACTTAAGGTAGATGACGTTCTGTGAATCCTTAACTTAACACTGTTGGGGCCAAAAGAGTCTTTTCTTGCTTCTGGGTTCCCCCAACATTGCATGCAACCTCCCAGTCTCACCTTGGTGACCTTGGATTAATCTTCAGGATTAATTGACCCTTATCATAGGACTAGAACTTCAGACAACAAAACCGACACAGTGTTGATGGTGGTCGCTCTCCTCATGTCACTGTAACCTTCCCGGATGATCTTTATTTACTTCAAGTCTTGTTTTGCTGAAGTGTCTCTGTTACAATGTTAATTGTTTACTTGTAAATTGAGACTAGATATATGGATTTCATAATCTCACAGATTCATGTTAAAGGCGTTCTGTCTCAAAGCCTGTATTTTACTTCTTTTAACATAGATTTGTTTTGTACTGATGAGTCGGAACAAACCTATAGCTGACCCTCCAGTGGGTTTTCAGAGACAATAAATGGCCTGGGAGGAGACTGCCCATTTTCCTCCTGCAGAGCAGCTGGTGTATTTGATCCACATACCTTTTGACATATAAGCACCTGTTTTTTCTCTGTCTCTCTTTTCCTGTCCCCGCCTCTCAGTTTATGTGTATGTTCGCCCATGTATGTGCAAGCCTCAATATGTGTCTGTATAAGTAGATAGATAGATAGATAGATAGATAGATAGATAGATAGATAGATCAAACCCATTGTCATAGAATCATTTTTAACTCTTAGAAGCCCTCCCTGAAGGACAGAGTAGCAACTGCTCCATGGAATTTCCAGAGCTTTCTCACTATGGAAGCAACCTACCTTACTTTTCTCCTGCACAGTAACTGGTGGTCTCAAACTACTATCCTTTCAGTTAGCAAGCAAGCACTTTACTCACAGTGCCACTAGAGCTCCTTAGATAGGTAGTTGGATATAGAGATATTTATTACCAGTGCCCTGAAAAACGGTTGTTGCCAGGTCACCTGAAGGTATGTCATATTCTATATCAAAGTTGCATTTTCATCATCCAGAAAATCAGAAGTTTATTACTTCATATGTGTGTGTGTGTGTGTGTGTGTGTGTGTGTGTGTAAAGTTTATGCCTTGCTTATCTACAGAGGATTTGAGGCAGCTTTACAGTGAGAACAAATGCAGTAACATACTGGTGAAATATTAATGAGAAAAGCTAATCAAAGCCATAGAGTTGTAAGGAAAAGTTGAAAGTGAAAATCCAAAGAAAGGACGCACAGCTGTGCAGGTCGTGAGTATCTATAGAATTACTGGACTTAAAATCCGTTTGTCAGAGTTAGGGAGACAAGGACTGAAAATACATAGTTCTGATTTTTAGAGGAAGAGAAAGCCTGGTGGACAGGACCATGTTTCCTCATGGAACTTTCTCCCAGAGAAGTAAGTGAAGAGGGAGCAGGGATGATGAAGTAAATCATAGCCTCAGTGGTGTAAACAACACACAAAAGAAACACACTTTCTGTGTCTATTCTTCTCAAAAGAAAGTTATTAAAATGCAACTTAAGTGAAAACAGTTTTGATACCACTTTGACAGACAATTAGAACCTGGACGCCCTGAGTATTGAGTCTGACTTTTAAGAACATTGTTTCACATCCTGATAGATCCAGAGACTTCAGCTCATGGGGGCAGGGGTTTGGATGTTAGTGTGACTGACCTCCAGTGTAGACACATTGCACAGTGACATTCAGTTCCTAAGATGCCACTCATAATCCATATGCTTATACTGTTTTTCCAAGAAGATAAGCATTAGAGTGACAGCACAAGAAAACTTTGACAGCAAACTCCAGCATTCCTGAGTTTTGAAATCACTAGCCTGGATCAATTAATGGAGAGGACATGACCTCTATATGTATTACTACTCTTTTCTTTATGAAGGTTGCCAACCATATTTTGACAGTTTGTGCCTGTGTTCTCTGAAGTTGGAGTTTTGAGTTGCTGATTGAGTAAGAACCTTTGTTGTTTAGAAACCAAAGGAACAGGAACAAGTAATAGGATTGAACTCCTTTTCGTGGAATTGAGTATGCCTCTAAAGCAGTGAAGCAGAGATCTCAGATCCCCTTCAAGAGATACTCTGTAGCTTCTTTACTAATCCAGTGTTTTCTTGGTCAGTCCACTTTAGCTCAGTAATGGCCCTGTGTTGTTTTGTTGTTTCTTTCTTTTTTTGCATTCTTCATGCTAGCACATCACCTCCCCTCATTTTATATCCTCCCAACTCACTCTCATACACTCACTTCTCTATTTTTCTCTGTCTCCATCTCCATCTCTCTCCTGCTTCCTCTGGAGGCATTTTTATGTGATATTTCAAGAACAGCATTCAGAAACAAACATTTCATTACTGAGACATGGAAAATTATCTGATATCTGTGTAGAAAAATACCTAAATATTTAGCGCCTCGTAGTTTGAGTGTTAGAGCTGTTACCCTACTCTTCCAGTATGTCTTAGTTATAAAGTGAGAAATTAATGTGTGACATTTAAACTAGTTAATAAAACTAATATTGAGTGCTGTATCATTTCTTTATGATGGAATAATTAGCAGGACCAGGTATATATTGAGGCTCATTCATCTAGTCCTCGTTGACGGCAGGAGGACCTGCCATCAGTATGAAAGATCAGAATTATCTGTCTGTTCCCAGTGGTACTAGGGCTGGTGGATATAAGAAGCTGGGGGTTGGGGGACATGGGCAGGGTCCCTTTGCTTGTGTACAGCAGAGTCCAGAAGCAAATGATTGTTCAGAAGGTGTGCAACTCAGACTATGTTATGTTCTCAGCCATTATTTGTGCCGATCACAAGCCACAAACATTACCTATTAAACACCACCTAGCAGTGCTTTCTTTCTTACCAGGGTATTCAAAGACAAATTCCATAGGCGCATTTAGGAACCATTATTAGTGTTAAATTATTGACTGAAAAATTTTATTCATACATATATTTAAAAGTTAATAAAAATTGGAGATACTGTATATTGGCCTTGCCAGAATTCTCTCTTAAAATGTAGCATGTAAAATTGGCACATAGCAAAGCTACTCCTAATGTAAAATTGTGACCTAGAAAATCAGACGTAGTCTAAGATGAAAACTTACAAAAGCATTTATCAAGAGACCATTGTATAGCAGTAATTCTCAGTGATGTTTTTAGGGACATAATGGTTACTACTACAGTAATGGAGAGAATCTGACCTTTGAAAGAACTGCTCTGTTCAGTCTGTGTTTATTGGACACCCATTTTGTTCCAGAGCCACCTGAAGCTAATTTTGCTCAAGAGTGATAAAATCCTTTAAATATCATTCCTGTTCTCTTGTCCTGAGTTAATGTCTAGCATAAACCCTCTCCTTTCCCCTCTACATAATAAATGTGGCTGCTGTTTGTTTCTTTCATGTCTTTGGAAGCCCATATACTCTGCCCTTGGACTAAGTTTGCTATGGAGAGATTTTTAAGACATTGTCTTTCAGCATGTCTATATGCTACCTGCAGTACAGCTTA